GATCCTGGGAGAATGAGATGGTATCATGCATGTGAATCTTTCCTTAGAGTACCTGGTGCATGTAACCACATCATTAATTTAATTTGATGCTATTATAGAATTCAGGTCCCAGTGTAAGGAACACAAGAATCCAGTGTTTACTCATTAATTTCTAAGCCAGTTTGCATCAGTAAATATTAAGAATGTAAAATCAGGAGATTGGGTGACTAGAGGTGGGCATTGAGGGGATGAAGTCAGCGTGGGCATGTGTCCAGCGTGGGCAGGTGACCAGTGATAGTGCTGGGCAGCTTTTGTGGGTGATGTGTGGAGTAGGTGGGTGAGGATGAGAGTAACAGCTCCAGTTTTGTCTCTTGGATTTTGGAGGCTGATGAACATAAGGATAGTTCACTATGAGACTCAAGAGAAAGTTTGGACTATATGGTTGTTAGTGGGAGCAGATTGAGCAAAGAAACAAAGAAACAGAGCAAAAAAAGAAAGAATGAATGCATTGAGGAATAATGTGTAAAAGACAAGGGGCCATTCAGGAGGAAGGTGAGGAAGAGTGCTTAGGGAGAAGAACCTTTTAGTTCAGGTGATGTTCACAAAATTTGAACATTTTCTTCTTGGATTGCCTTTAAAAAGGTGGCTACTTGTTTAGAACTGGGGTAAATCATACTGGGCATTCCATTTCAGACCCTGAGATTTGAAACAAGTGGATATTTCAAACTACAATGACCTATACATGATGCATACATGGATATTACCAGCTCATGAGAAACCTGCAATTCTGAGGTGCCCCCGTTACTGTGACAAGGGTGTTGTATTCAGGGCTGGGCTGTCCTTGCTGGACTTGTGGGCTCTGTTCTTCCTCCGGGTCTCCATAGCCCTTGCTCGTTTTTGTGCTCCAGGTCCCAGCTCAAAGTCCAGTTTCTCCAAATAGCTTCCTCTGTCCACTGTGTCCAAAAAGCCTCTACCCTTCAGCCCAGTTCATTCTGATCTCGTCGCCCTTCTGATTTCTTTAGACACCTTTTGTAATCTGTAATTACTTTGTGTTTTTGTAATTACTTTGTGTTTATTTCTTACTTGCATCCTCTCTCTTAAAGGGGTTCTATAAACATGTGTTTAAAAATGAAAAGTAGTTGAGAACTAGGGTAAGAGTTGAGAATTCTTTCCCTGTTTGCTTTGTAGAATATTTAGTTTTGGTATTTTTTCTTATCTACTCAAAAGAAATTAATAAAGCTTCCATGCCAAGATGTTATGAGCACTCAGCTCCATCTGGATAATTTTTCCAGAAATAATGGGAATTTGTAGTCATCACTAAATGGCCAGATTTCAAATAGGCTGAAATTAATTGCCTCCTACTTCGGAGGATAAAGATCTCCGAGTAGATGTTCAGACACATTTGTAGGCTTCTTTTCTTCCTGTTTGCCTGATGACGCCTCAATGGCTTTTATGAAATGCAGATTTCCAATAGCGTTTTGGCAATTGTTTCCACACAGTAGGCAATGTGGGAAAGGTATAAATGTTGGTGAAATATTTACTGGTGCTTTTGGTTTGAAAGGTACTTTGCTCTATTTAATGGTGCTGGTTGACAACAAAATAGTGTATCAGAAAAAATATTTAAAATTTTACAATAGGTACAAGGGGATGATCAAAAAGAAGGGGTGTTGAAATAAAAATATTGTATTTTTTAGAATAAAAGATATATTGCTATTAACCCCCCTCAAAGAGTCCCTTTCACTTTGAACACATCTCTCCCATCATGTTTTCCACCTTCTGAGGCAGGTCTGGAAGTCCTCTTTTATCAGTCTTTTTGGCTATGCTGTGTGGCTGCTTCAATGTCCTGAATCTCTTCAAAACATTCACCTTTGATGGTCATTTTTGTTTTGGGAACCACAAGTCACATGGTGCCGAATCCTTGGATGAGGACGCTGCAGTGATTTATGAGCCTGCGTTTCCACTGTGTGGGACCTGGCAACAGCTTTCATCCCATTTTTGATCACACCTGGTAAAGACACACCTGAAAAAGACTTCTGAGCTGCTTCAGAAAGTGACAAGAATGAGGGAATAAGTGTGTTCAAAGCCAACAGGAGTATTTTGAAGGATAGAAATGGTAATACATCATTTACTGTAATAAATTACAAAAAAGATTAAAAATATTTACCAGTGTTTCTTGATCACTTCGTGTAGGTCTCCTCCTTCAATAGCTTATCTTGGGATTCCTGGAGGGATGAACGGCATCAGCAGAAATCAAATTTTCAGTTTTGAAGAACAGGAAACATAGTCTGACAACTTTATTCGTGGTCTTATGAGAACCTGAAGATACTGTATTTGATTTTGAAGCAGTTTTAAAAACATTCATGACACAGGATGGGGATATAGCTCAGTAGCACAAGTACCTACCTTACAAGTCAGGTTGTGAGTTTGATTCCTAGTTCTAAAACAAATAAAATAAAATTAAAAAACAAAAATTCATTACATATAAGTGGCAAAGACAACATCGATGTATGCAGGATGTGGAATCACAGCAGGGGAATGACTTCTCACTGAGGGACTTGTAGAGAACTTCTCAGAAAGGGTGGCATCTGAATGCTGGGGGCATTCTAGACAGAGGAAAGAGTGTGTGCAAATACATGGACACATGTATGAAAGGAAAGACATTTTTAGGGAATGTTCATGTTTGGTGGAGACATACTGATAATGGCAAGAGATGAAGCTAGGAATATACTAGAGTCAGATTTTAAAGGGTATGGTATATAATTTTAAAGAGCATGGGTTTTATACTGAGATTACTAATGAACCATGTAACATTTTCATTGCGATATAGGATCTCAAAATTATGAATTTTAAGGAGCATGAGTTTTATACTGAGTTTACCAGTGAATCACTCAACATTTTTATTGTGATATTAGATCTCAAAATTATGTTTCAGCAAAGGTAAATCTTACAAAAGGTAAATTACAATGGAGAGAGATGAGACACAGAGAAATCAATTATGCTACTGTAGTAGACTTAGAGATGAGTAACAACAACTGTATACGGGCAGGGGTGATGGAGAGGAGGAGATAACTGGAGAGTTACTAGGAAGTATAAATAGCAGGGATAACTCTGGATCAGAGGACATGAGGGGTGACAAGGAGAGGCAGGAATTAAGAATGCTTTTGTATTTGGTGACCAGATTAAAAAGACACTGAGAACAAGTGGGGGTGAGGAAGACAATTTAATTTTGGATGTGCTGGGTTAACTTTTTAGGTGGAGATGTAGGACACAATTGAAAATACAAACATGAGTTGAGAAATAATTTTAGATTCATTTGCAGTGTAGGTGGGGCTTGAGATGATGGGAGTAGCTGAAATCACTTCAGGACAGTGAATAAAGTGAGGATGCTAATGGGGCCGGAAGACTCATAATGAAAACAACTTTCAGGAAATGAAATGTAAATATCTGTGATAACATCAAACATGTCTATAAATTAATCTCTAAGAGGTGGAGCCTTTGAGTACTGCTAAGAAAGATATGTTAATTGGTGTTTTAAATGTATTCAATAGTATTTTTCCTATATTTTGGGGAAAAGAGTTTTTTTTAAAGAAATATGTCCATGTCTAATAAAGGAAATGTGTCTCTTTCCATTGCTACATTGAAGCCTACCGATGAGGGCGAAGGGAATGTTGATTCTCCACTGAATGCATTAGAAGTACAAGATTCTAATTGTGCAACCTCCCAGCTCCTACTTATTACAAAAGATGAATGGCTTATGAATTAGTTTATTACTTGCCTTCCATGCCAGCTTTTCTCTTCATCAATTATAATAAATTTGCAAGTAAATTGGAAGACTTGTGATATATTAACTCAAATGTCAAGCATGATCAAGACTAAAATACACCCACAAATGGGATCCCTCAGCAAATGGTCTTAGGCCCCCACTATGAAACACCTTAGCACACACAAATGTGAAAAGCCATCACTTAAAAAATGGTAATGTAAAGGCTGCAAACCTTATTTTGCTGCTTGGATCAAGCTGTTAACTTCCTAGGGAAATGCAACAGATTTTCCAAATGGAATAAATTTTAGATTTAAAAAAAATCACAACAATTTTCCTAACATATGCCAATGTAATAAAATTCATGTTTCACTCCATATGTCACGGCTGAAAACCAACACACATTTTGTTATTTTAATAGAAAGTACGTTTTAAAATTGTAAAATGAAAAAAAAATAGATGTAGTGACCATATTGTAATAGCCCTTCTTGGATAGCAAAAGATTACACAGTCACTTAAATGTTTCTAAGCATTTCTACACAGCTTACTGAATATGAGCTTACAATGTATCTAATTTTGAAGGTACAGCTATGCTAATTTCTAAGCTTCAAAGAAGAAAACTGAAGTTTGTATTTATTGCCCAGTGTCACCTACTATTCAGAAAAGCCAAGACCTCCTTTTTCTTTTACTTTAAATTTCAGGCATGTAAGTCATTCAGTAGCCTACATCTTTCTTGTGTTTGGCTTTCACTTCATCCAATATTTATGGACTTTCTTCTTGATACAGTTTTTGTTGACCTTAGTGAAGTTACTTTGTTAAAAACTGTGACCAAATTATAACTGTTCACATTTCATTTTGCAGTTTCAAATTTATAAGTTATATATATCTGTTCATAAAACTTATTTTTAAAAAAAAAATCCTAGTGTAAATAACTTAGTAGCCAATTTTTCTGATTGCAGATACTAAATATTAAAAAAATCACTTTTACTATGTAGAAACTTCACTATTTTACCAAGTATATTAAGGAGTACTCTTCCTTTTTAATTAAAGGGATACACATCTTTATCACATGATTTAAACATTATCTGCTGCCACAAGCTTATTCCAATACAGTAAACTGATCCTTCTTCCCTGAGTTCTGTGATAGACACTTCATGACCCCCTATTTCTTCATCTTATCTGTCAAACACCGTCTTTCCTTTTCATCTGCATGGAAGCTCAGGCTTTGGTTTCTTTATATGCTTTTTTCCTTTTTCTGCAGATACCCTGTGCCGTCTCCTGGCTCTTTATCTGACGACTGCAGGTACAGTGCACAGACTGCGGTGCAGCTGCTCCAGCGGAAGCAATGTCCCTTGCCAGATTCTTGACGTGCTAAGACTTTAGGATGTGGCTCAAACGGCAGTTACTTAAACTCTGTAAGTCAGGCTTTTTAACAGTCCTGCGTACTATTTCTTCTCTCCATTAGATGTTATGTACCATATAATGACCTATTTATCTTCCTCTTCGGACTGATTTCCTCCAAGTGTAGGAGCCCCAGGTTCTCAGCGGATCTGCTTCTTTGCACCTCGTCCATCCTTCCTCTTGGAAATCTGGGGCTGGTTAATTGGGTGTGCAACTGCCTTCACAGGGGTGGCAGTGCTGTGGACTCATCTGAAGGCTCAACAGGGGAAGATTGACTCCCACACGCACCCCAGAGACTGTTGGTAGGATTCTGGTCCTCATGGACGGCTGGGCTGAGCGCTCCAATTTCTCACAGGCTCTGGGGTGCAGGCCTGCTTTGGTTGATTTGGGAGGGGCCTCTCCATTGGGAAGTTCCAGTGTGGTCACTGATTCTGTCACCTAGAGCAAGTAAGAGGGAAAGAAAAGGCAAGCAAGTTGGACACCAGTAGTGCTCTTTTTTTATAGCACAGTCTTGGAAGTGACAGCCTGTCATTTTGTCACATTCTATTTGTATAAAGGCAAGGCAGTAAATCCTTGAAGAAGAGAGAAGCTCACAAGGACACGGATACCGCGACAGGGACCCTGGGTCACTGAGGGTCGTCTTAGACAGTGCCTGCCCTGCAGTCTGTAATGATTAATAGTACGTTTCACAGGCTGGTATGTGGACTGCCTCACACTCTCTTGTATGAGAGAAGGATGCATTTTTTGTTTTTATACATCAGTTTAGATTAAAAATTATAAAGGTTTAGTATGTTGCTTTGCCTTGTGTCTGACACTGTGTATAACACAGGATTCCAGATACTGCAGTAGAAATAGGAGAGAGAGAGATACTAACAAGGCAAGGGTTAGAAATTTTATACATACATTTATTGGGATTTTTTTTCTCATTCCTGTCTATCTCAATTTTAAAACTAAAAAACGTTTTACAAATGCTCCATGCATAGGCAAAATTCAGTAAATCTTAGTTATATTACTGTTAGCATTATTTTTATTACTTCCCACCCGTTCGACATGACTTACGTTTTTTCCTATTAGATCAATCAACCTTGAACTGGAGAGGTTGATTTCAGCTACTTCTACCCTATTTTCCCAGCAATAAGTGATCTTTTCAGAATTCTGTCTTTCTTTGCTTTTCTTTCCTGGGGGTGCGTGGGTAACTGGGAATTGAACTCAGGACCTCATGCTTGCTAGGCAGGTGCTGTGCCACTGAGCTAAGTCCCTGGCCCTCTCTTACAGAATTCTGTATGACAAGATGGGGCATTTACAAAGGTCTTTTGCTTCATATTCATAGACAATGCTCGTCTCAAGGAAAAGCATTCATGTAATTATTTGACATGGGAGCTCAATTAGCTCTGTTTCTCTTGTGAAATAGAATCCTCACTTGAAATTATGATACATGAACTATAGTTATTCAGACTTAAGTAGTTGGCAAACATTTTCTTGAAAAAGAGCTAAGTGAGATTATCACTTCATGGAAAACTGCTGATGTTATTCATTGCCAATGATAAAATGCAATCTTTCAAGCAAAATTTGCAGGTTTGGAAAACTTGTATTTGCTGCCATGAGCTTCACAGCTGTGTGAAGACTAACTTTCCCATAGATTCAAGTGGTGATATTAATAAACATGATTTTAAAATCATTTTTAAATAAGCATTTGGAAGATCTGCATGACTTGTTGAGCTGATATGCTTAAAAAGAGAAATGCATGAGATTATAAAATTATGCATGGGTCAAAAACTTGTTCAAAGTGAAAAGTGAGTTGTTGGATTTTAATGTAACAGGATGAAAATTTATTGATGTAGTTTCAGATTATACATTACAATTAATCTTTAAAAAATCACAATTTGTTATTTTGATTTATTGTCAAAAATTATGCTTTTCAATTACCTGACAAGATTTTAAAATATACTTTTCTAACATTTTCCAACCATGTTCAACAAAAATAACATTGTACAAAATAACTTTTTGTTTCTTGAGGCAGAGTCTCATTGTGTTTCCTAGGGTGTCTGAGATCTCATGGGCTCAAGTGATCCTCTTGCCTCAGCCTCTCTCAGTAGCTGGGAGTACAGGCATGTACCACCTTTCCAGGCTAAAAATAGCATAGTCTGAATGTAAGCATGGATGGGATTATCGTGTAATTTCTTTGTTAAAACAGACATTAAAGAGATTTGAAACAAATACAGAGTTGGGCTATTCCTTTCATTGATGTTTTTGTTCTAAGAAGTATTTTCCACAAAAATATGGTGTTCGTGTTAATATGTAATAGTTTGTTAGTATTATTATGAAGTAAATAAATGACAAAAGAAGCAATATATTTATAATGTAGTAAATATTGAGAATGTAAACATCATAAATAAAAACTTTTTGACATCTCAATACTCTACCGGGGATCAAACTCATAACAGTGTACTTGCAAGGCAGGCACTTATGCTACTGAGCTAAACCCCCAGCTCCAATCCTAATACTTTTTAAAGTGTCAAGAGAGCATGAGACCAGACCTGAGAGTGGCTACTACTGCAGATGACAGCTGCAAGGCAAGATCTGATGGGGACTTGGGTGACCTCAGTTCCACAGGCTAAGTTTCTATCTGTCTCAGAGAGGTGAAACGACAACAAATCTAAACAACAGAAATACTCAAGCACACATTTGTGGTTGTTGACCTCATTGGCAGAATCTTAGTCAAGTTCCATTTCACAGTTTTAGTCCGTTCCTGCTGCTATACCAAAATACCACAGCCTGGATAATTTAAAAAGAGTAAGACTTTATTTCTCACAGTTCTGGAGGCTGGGAAGTTCAAGGTGAGGTCAGCACATTCAGTCTGTGGCAAGAGCTCATTCTGTGTTTCAAGATGGTACCTTGTGGCTGTATCCTCCTATGGCAAGAGAACAGGGACAAATGTTGTGTCCTCATGTCATGCAAAAGATGAAAGTACTGGGCAGACCTCTGAAGCTTCCTTTGTAAAGGCAGTGATCCCATTCACGAAGGGGGGTAGCTCATTTCTTAATCAAAACATTTAATGCTATATCTGAGTCTTAAGTTCCAGCATGAATTTTATAGACGCCAACATGTAAATCACAGCAAAACATGTTCCCATGAGAGTCAGGTCTCTGTGTAGGATCAGGGATGTACTACAGTGAGCTATTTGACTTTGACATACTTTGTAGCTAACATTGGTTCATAAAAGTGAATTGATAACCTTTCAGGAGTTTTGTGAGCCAGTTGTTAAATACAGCCAGTATTGAAAAATTATTCAAGCTTAGAATGAAATAATTTGTATTACAAAAAAGGTAGAAAGTATGCAGCTTTATCCTCATTCTTGAGGTTATGTTTGCTGTACATGTATGGCAGAAATAGTACGCCATTATGTGTACATATCTTTCCAACTGCATGTTCACCATGTCACTACCCATCTCCTGGAGGAAGTGCTTGAAGTCAACCACCAAGGTAGAAGCTGCAATGGGAAGATAAATTCTACAAGTTTCAGTTCTTTTTCCCACCCTGCCCTTTAGAGCTCTGGTTGGTTAACATTTATTGACACATCACTGAATGTGATGATTTTTGACACAGTAGCTTGAGTTTTACTCCGATTATATTTTTATCTCCATTCGACCTCTACTACTAGCAGAAAGTTTAGCTTTTGTTCTTTCTCATCTCTGGAGGAATTTGTAGGAACGTATGTGTTGCTTTAGGGGAAGATCTAAGCTTTTGTAGACTACTCAGGGTAAAGGGGTGCTGAATTTCTTTGATGGGAGTGAATGGTGGAAAATAAATTCACCAAGACTGAGACTAAATGTTTTCGAATCACAAGACAAATGGCGATCAGCCAGGCACTGTGGTACACACCTGGAATCCTGGCTGGCTGGGAGGCTGATGCTAGAGGACTGAAAACTAGAGGTCAGTGTGAGCAATTTAGAGAAAACTTGTGAGAAAATAAAATTTGAATTGAAAGGCTCCCTGGGTTCAATTCCCAATTCCTGAGCTCCCTTTCCCTGGTGTTGATCCACATCTGACTTCCTGGCAGTGCCCTCAGGCATTGGGAATACGTGTGGCTGGATTTGCCATGTTGTTGCCTTGGATGCCAGGGTAATGAGGCTCCTAACACTGATATAAATTCTTGCACTCAGATTTGACATAGAATGAGCAGGGCCATCTTCCTTCAAGGGCTAAGCGGCCTTCTATATGGTGTCAAAGGAGGCAATTTTAAAGGAAGAAGAGGGCATGCCTGTGAACTCTAATGAAGTAGCATTTTCTGTTGATCCTTATGGTGGGAGCTTAGAGTTGGTAACTTATGTTAAAGGAAATAAAGGCATTTGGCATTTCTTATACGCATGTTCATGGCTGCAGAGACAGGGCAGTCAACTCTCAGTGACTGAGGGGATTGGCTTTAGGAACTTCCTTTAGTTACCAAACTCCATGGTGCTTAAATCCTTACGTAAAATGGCATAGTGTTTGCATATAGGCTTTGGACATTCTTGTTTAGAGAATAGTGATCAGAAAAAACCTTGATGTTCAGTACACACACAATTTCTTTTTGTAATGAGTCTACCCTTGATTGATTGAATGAATCTGTGAAGGCCAAACCTAGATATGGGAGCCCAACAGTGTATAGCTACCCTATAGGTTCTCCAGAGAAGCAGAGGTAGCTGATTCCAATTGGCTTATTTGATTTTCTGAAATTCATAGGACAGACCAGCAGGTGAGGACCTCAGGCAAGAGGTGACATTGCAGATTTGAGCCAGAATTCTTTCTTTACTGGGACATTTCAGGTTTACTTTGTAAACTTTTTATTCTTAAAATAACCTGTACAAATGTTTTGCCATTATAGACAGAATAAAAAGTAGGTACCAAAATTTCTAAAAGGAATGAACAGGGAGAATAAAAATAGCAGGTGCTTCCATAGTATCAACTTTTATGAATTAAAATTTGTGAAAACAGGTTAAATTTTAGTGATAAGCATACATGCTTGATTTCTTTTCTAATTTCATAAAAGTCTGTTGTGACTCTTTATGTACAATATATTTGATTCATTTCTACTTCTCTGGTATTCTCAGTATTTTTATAAAACATTAATAATTATTAGTATTTGAAAAAGCCTCCATCAACTGGGGAAAATCTCTTATATACAAGGAAATACATTGTTATAGTTGAAATAGAATTGGAAGCAAAAATTATATGAATTAATTTGTATTACAAAGGAAGATAACTGGAATATTTATGGCACTTTTCTCTCTACAGTGGTCCCAAGGTCCTTTTGTTCTTCATAATAAGCCAAAAATAAAAATTTAATCAATAGGAATGAGCTACGTTCCAAGATAAGACTTAACCTTGGGTTTGAATGATTCTATTGATTTGGCTTTGTGAACCTGAGGCAGGATTGCATCTAAGGACTGGGGTGTACTTTAGTTTAAAATGAGTGCTTCTTAAGTTGTTGGCAAATAGACTGGAATTGCCAATAAAGTTGGCTGAGACAGGCTCAGACAATAGCTAAGCTCCTACAGAGATAATAACTCAGATAAATATAGGAGTCATAAAATGTTCACTTAAAAAAACTTCTTACGTAATAATTATCAAAATAAATATCACCAGTAGTGAGAAGCTAACCAAAATACCTCAAGGACATTCATGACCTTCCATGTAGGAAATAAGAGCATGGTTTTAACGATGTTTTTCCCTTTCCTTAGAGATGATAGTCTTCTTTTTATTCACTCTCTTTTTTCCTCCCTCTTGCGTAATTATGCAATGTCAAATCTACCTATAGGAAAGTCATATTAGCATCTCCTTAAATACTTGTCAAAATTCTGGCAGGAAACTTGAGATAATGGCGCGGGTGAGCACTGAAGATACAGAGGCTTGCGAGAGGAGGGGACAGGAAACTGGTTCTCCTCCCCGCCTCCCACCTCTCTGCTGACCTCAGGGCCTCACTGTAGGTACAGCTCAGACAGCTAACTAACCAGCTTATTTCAGAGGAAAGGAAGTTTGCTGTTTGTTGTAGTCTGTGTCTAGATGTCTCCCCAAAGCCTCATGCAGTTATGGGTGTGGGGCAGCCTTTTCAGAGGCGGCTGAATCCAGAATTTGTGACTAACTCAGGGTCCAATGCTGGGATTAAGGATGTGAATGCTACACCTGCTTTAGGGGGAGGGTGGGGGTTGCTTTCTCCCTTTAGCTTTGGGTGTCAAATATTTTGTCTCAGCAACAAGAAAAGTAACTAAGTCACTATTGGTGTAAAACACATTTGTTTTAAATGTCTTGGTTGAGCTCAGTGAGGTTTTAACAGAGCAGAGTTAGTGTATTTTATTTATTTATTTTTGTTTTTTTACTTTTTTATTCTTTTGGTACTGGGGATCCAACTCATGACCTCACACTTGCCAGGCAGGTGCTGTGTCACTCAGCTATATCCCGGGGGCCAGTTGTTTTGTTTTTATTGCCCTCTAGAGATTAAGGATGCAAGAGTGAATAAGGTATGGGCTCTGTTGTTAGTTTCACAAAGAGGTAAGACACGAAACACTTATCTATGCCACACTTATATACTGCTACAGAAGTCTGAAGTGTGTTCTGAAACCACATTGCCAAGAACAACTAACTATGACTCAGGATGGCAAGAAACGTGGTAAAACATAAAAATAGGTCCCACAGTATTTTGAAAATGTGTATTTAAGAAAAAGAGGCCTTTTTAAAAAATGAGAGGTCAAAATTCAAGGATAGTGAAGAAACCATACCTTAACATCAGCAAACTCAGAAATATAACAAGAAGGGTACAGATAACTCCCTGAACTATAGTACCATGCCAAGGAGAGAAGCACAGGAGTAACTCTCATGGAGTTCCGAAAGAGGATGTCAGGAAGAAACAGAGATAGAAGTCGTTTGTGTACTTATGTACAGGTCTATCGAATGCTATGCATTTGAGAACTTTCTATGACAAGGCCATAGCTTCTAGCACCAGCTCCAGTGAAATCTACATAGATAACACATCACAGAATTGCTGGACTATGTTACCACACTTGTTATTCTACTCAGCACCACTCAATAGAATAAACCTTCACTGGGAGAAATCAGCACCAGAAGCCAGCAATGGAACAGGTGCACAGAAGTTAAACTTTCCAGAAGCAAATTTATTCCAGGAAAAAGAAACCAGGTGTGCAAAGGCTCTAGGGCTTAGGGCAATCATGGTGAGACAGTTT